AGAAGTTAAAAATGAACCTAAAATTAATTTATTTTGCATGTTAGCAGCCCTCACATAATTGTTGAGCCCCCACCCCAACAAGACCTTCGCGCTCCTACAGTAGATACTGATACTTTGCAATAGGATGTTTTGATGTGCTGAACAAATTTCTAGGGATGGCCTAATTACTAGATTTAATAAATATATACAAGGTTGTATTATTGTCATTATTCGTTACATAATACTATAAAATTAATTTCTCACTGTAATTAGATGCATTCTCTCTGTAATCAGCCAAAAGTCCAATTAAAAATTTATTTATACGCAATGTAATTCACTAACATATTGAGTGGGCAGCAGATTATTCATGTATTTAATAATTAAATATTTTTACATTTCCGGCACCATAATTTGCAACCACAAGTCTTTGTGGATAATACGAAATCACAGATAATCCCCATGGATTGTTAATTCCATCTTTTACATTATTAATTATTTTAAGGAAATTTCCATCACTACTAAATAGCTGTAGTTTGTGGTGGCTTGTTATAATGATGTTGTCATCCTCATCAACTACTACTCCATGTGGATTCCTCACCTTACCATCCTCATCACCTGTTCCAACAAGGACTTTTATGAACCTTCCCTCATTATCAAATAGCTGTAATCTGTTATTGTTGAACTCCAATACAAGAAGTTGTCCTTGATTTGTAAAGGTAACATCAATGGCTCCACTTATTTGACCTTCTAGTTTTCCTGGTGACCCTATCTTCCTTATTATTTGGCCACTATCAATGTCAAACAAGAAAACCCAGCCACAACTTGAATCTGTTACATACACAACATTTGATGTTTCATTTACATGGATACCATGTGGATTTTTTAATTCCCCCTGACCCATTGATTTGGTCACCTGACCATTCATATTGCATACTTTGATGCATTTATTACCCGAATCACTGAATGCTATGTCATCGTTTTTCAATTTGTACATTCTGTAAACTTTCACACCTGGAGGTAATGTAACATACTTACCAATACATTCTCCAGATTGCTTATATTTGAGAATTTCATTCGTCAAACATGAAACCAGAAAGTAATCATCTTCAAATTTAATGACATCTCTAACATACATTTTGTTTATTTGAATGGTATTTACTAATCCATACTTCTCAACATTAACTATCAATGGTGACTGCTTGATTGGTTCGCCGTCAGCCAACACATTTAGCTTCCAAACTCCTAGACTAGTACATTTTTGTGCTGGAAGGGGGTATGATTTTGAGCAAGTTGGACAAGTCAACTTACCCTTCGTCATGACCCAGTCTTCCAGACATGCCAAACAGAAACTATGGAGGCAGTTGAGTGATTTGGGATTTTGAAGTCTCTTGAAGCATATGGTACACTCTAAAACCTTCTCATCAACATTTTCCAGAAACTGATTCAGCTCACTGGTAGCCATCTTGAAATATTCCTGTGAACTATAAAGCGATAAAAAATATGTTAGGGCAGGGGAATAACACAGAATTAGGGAGAGGCTCTGGTAGATTATGGCCCAATATTTAGAACCAATTTTTGTTTTTCCCCATTGCTGCCTTGAAATTTTGCTCTAATAATTTTCCGCAAAAGTGTTATTTTATAGCATCATAGCCTGTTTAGAACTGATAATTGTGGTTGATTTGAAAATTTCTTGAAAAATAGTAGTATTAAGCACTGATAATATATTGGTGGTAAATTAAAACAATAATTAGCAAAAATTGGTCATTATTTTGTGACAAATTTCCAGGCTTAATTCTTTCCAAAGATACCATATATCTCATTGCACACAAAGACAATACATTTCAGCTGTGGCATTGGTGTTGTAGTAGTATTAAATGTTATTTTGATTCTTAATGACAATATCTGATTATGGTTTTGAAGAGTGCACAGTAGTACTGAGTGTAATATGAATTGTTAACCATGAATATTCAGGAAGTCCTACTGTTAGAACATTCTTCAAAGTAGATATATTTCTAAGCTACTGTAATTAAATAGTTTCCTTATCTATTCGGTCCTAGGACTTTATGCTGAAATGTACTGTAAGCCTACTGTATAATGCATTGTACAATCCAGTTGTTTCAAATGTTTAAATCATTTACATATTAAACCACATTCATTCAGTAGATATTAACAAATTCAAATACTTAGGTCCCTACCTGTAAATTACTCAAATGAGGTGTTTGTAGACGTATCTGCAACATATATTTGTCAGTTTGTCAGATAAGTTTCCTTATCTATTCGGTCCTAGGACTTTATTCTGAAATGTACTGTAAGCCTACTGTATAATACTTTGTACAATCCAGTTGTTTCAAATGTTTAAATCATTTACATATTAAACCACATTCATTCACTAGATATTAACAAATTCAAATACTTATGTCCCTACCTGTAAATTACTCAAATGAGGTGTTTGTAGACGTATCTCCAACATATATTTGTCAATTTGTCTTCGATGTGACCTATGGTATAGGCTGGGTCATGATTGTTTAACTTCCTGGCTTAGGAAGTCAATTGTGGCTTGTAAAATCAGTCATGCAGAGATTTTGAACTCCTATACTCAGTGTTAGGTCCCTGTCTATTCAATCAGAGAGCTCTAGGCCTCATGTGTGAGTAAGTAAAAGATCCGTTTAGGCAGGTTTAGGTCTGCATTGTGTGTTTATTGTATTCTAAGACTGAATGAAATACAGAAATATAAACATTGTTTATGATTACATATTGTAAAATAATATTATTTACATGTTGATATAAAATTAAAAATAGGCAAGCATATATATTTCGTAGTATCAACTAAATTAAAAATATAATACTTTAAAAATTTGGTAAACAAATTAAAGATTAATATTTAATATCGTATATTTTGTGCCTGTTCTCTCTTTTCTGTTACTGGTATCTGCTTTCTCTGTTTGTATACCATTTTCTCTCTTTGTTTCTTTTTTTTTTCTGTGTACGTTTTGAAATTGAGACATTTTGCACCATATCAAAGTTTGGATTGGATTCTATTGGATTCTCCCCAGCTGTGTATTTTTGGTATCAAATGCTGATGTCCCCGATGAGAAAAAAGTGTGTGTGGACGAGTGTCGCTAAAAAGCTTTCGAAAGTGGTCTGGGGAAGCCCCTGCAATCTTAACAATTTAGGGGGTTCGAAGGCTTATTTAATTGATTTCTGGAGTCTTATCAAAAAAATTTTTAAAATACATAGAAAATTTTTTTTTCCTACCCAATGAATTGTGGTTTTCTCTCCGACCGGGGAGGGAGGGGAGGGGGTGTGAATATAAACACAGTACCGGTATGTCTTATTTTATTTTAATTTCTTTTGTTAATTATTTTGTTATGAGTTAATTAGCCATTCAATATATCTTGAATATTTTAATTTATTTTATCTTAATTTAAATATATTGATTAAAAACTCTTTCTTATGAATTACGAATTATTTAGCCTTTCAATGTCTTATTTATTGGTCTGTATGGTCAGTACTAGAAGGAATTTTTAATTTAATGAAACGGCATTCTACTGTTGCCTAAAAAAGGTAAAGGTGGTCTTTAATTATGTGTTAATTGGTACGAGTCCTGTGTTTGCCGTCATAGTTCAATTGAATTAAATATAAAACAAGAAGCGTAGGTTATGAAATACCATTGAAAAATTGTACCAAAAATGAGTTCTGTAAATAGTTCACCAGTTAGTTCTATTGGTACTATAGTCAATCATTGGTAACATCCCAGCTAGCAAGCGACGTTGACCCGACGTTGGTTGAAGGTCGAATAATTACGTTGGCACAACGTACTTACACAAAGGTTGGCGCGACGGCCGTTTTTCCATCGGCCCAACGTGGATTCAGCTTGTTGGAAAGACGTCGGCCCGACTAGTTGGATCTACGTTGGCCCGATAATGTTTGTGCAACGTCAACCAATCACGTTGGCCCAACGTACCTTTCTGATGTTGCCTAGACGTTCGTTTTTCCATCGGGCCAACGTCGATTCAGCCAGTTGCAAAGACGTCTATCCGACTAGTTGGATCAACGTCGGGCCGACGTTGGTTGAAGGTCAAATAATTACGTTGGCACTCCGTACTTACACAAAGGTTGGCCCGACGGCCGTTTTTCCATCGGGCCAACGTCGATTCAGCCAGTTGCAAAGACGTCTATCCGACTAGTTGGATCAACGTCGGGCCGACGTTGGTTGAAGGTCAAATAATTACGTTGGCACAACGTACTTACACAAAGGTTTGCCCGACGGCCGTTTTTCCATCGGCCCGACGTCGATTCAGCCAGTTTCAAAGACGTCTATCCAACTAGTTGGATCAACGTCGGGCCGACGTTGGTTGAAGGTCAAATAATTACGTTGGCACAACGTACTTACACAAAGGTTGGCCCGACAGCCGTTTTTCCATCGGGCCAACGTCGATTCAGCCAGTTGCAAAGACGTCTATCCGACTAGTTGGATCAACGTCGGGCCGACGTTGGTTGAAGGTCAAATAATTACGTTGGCACAACGTGCTTACAAAAAGGTTGGCCCGACGGCCGTTTTTCCATCGGCCCAACGTCGATTAAGCCAGTTGCAAAGACGTCTATCCAACTAGTTGGATCAACGTCGGGCCGACGTTGGTTGAAGGTCAAATAATTACGTAGGCCCAACGTACTTACACAAAGGTTGGCCAGACGTTCGGTTTTCCATCGGCCCAACGTGGATTCAGCTTGTTGGAAAGACGTCGGCCCGATTAGTTGGATCAACGTTGGCCCGATAATGCTTGTGCA